CCCCTTGGGGCTCCCAAATGATGCCCCTGGCAGCGTTTTGTGACCATGAGGCTCTCAAGAGATACATGTTGGGGGCGCCAAACGGCAATTCTAGCTGAGACGTCCCACCAAAATCGGCGCGAACGGGCTCGTGAGATCAGCCAGGGTGGCTCCCCCTTGGGGCTCCCAAATGATGCCCCTGGCAGCGTTTTGTGACCATGAGGCTCTCAAGAGAGACATGTTGGGGGCGCCAAACGGCAATCTAGCTGAGACGTCCCACCAAAATCGGCGCGAACGGGCTCGTGAGAACAGCCAGGGTGGCTCCCCCTTGGGGCTCCCAAATGATGCCCCTGGCAGCGTTTTGTGACCATGAGGCTCTCAAGAGAGACATGTTGGGGGCGCCAAACGGCAATTCTAGCTGAGACGTCCCACCAAAATCGGCGCGAACGGGCTCGTGAGAACAGCCAGGGTGGCTCCCCCTTGGGGCTCCCAAATGATGCCCCTGGCAGCGTTTTGTGACCATGAGGCTCTCAAGAGAGACATGTTGGGGGCGCCAAACGGCAATTCTAGCTGAGACGTCCCACCAAAATCGGCGCGAACGGGCTCGTGAGATCAGCCAGGGTGGCTCCCCCTTGGGGCTCCCAAATGATGCCCCTGGCAGCGTTTTGTGATCATGAGAGAGTGTGAGTGTGAGCTTAACTTATCTTATCTTATCTTGAAATCTCTTCTTATCATATCTTGTGCTATCTTATCTTATCTTGTAGTATCTTATCTTGTCTTGTCTTATCTGGTGATTATCATTGGGAGGAGGGAGGCGCGAGCGGGAGGAAGAAGGAGGAGGAGGAGGAGTGGGAGGCGTCAGAGTAATAACAAGAACCCCAATCCTTAGGATATGGGGAACAAGAACCCCAATCCTTAGGATATGGGGAAAAAACATGCTCCAGCCGCGTCCGCGCGCACGACGACGATGAGCGACGAGCGATGAGCCACGAGCGATGACGACGACGACGACGACGACGACGACGACGACGACGACGACGACTGCGGACCAGACTCCTATGCGGATTCCTACGCGGACACCTACGCGGACACCTACGCGGATCCCAACGCGCAACACGGCAGTGCCCGCAGCGCACTGGGGGGGGGAGCGTTCCGTCATAGGGGGGGAGCGGGGGCCATGACGCCAGTCATGCCCCAAACAATAAAGAAACGGGCTCTTAGGTTTTCGGTAACCCCTGCGCCGCGCGCAACGCAAGCATTTACGCGCACCCCATCCTTCACAAACGGCTGCAAGCTTGGAGCCACTCCAATGGGGATCGCCGCTGACGATTCATGCGCCCACCGGCAAGCATCGCCCGCGGCGACACCAACGAAGGCACCAGCACTCCAGGCGCACGGGGCCCCTCCTCACTCCACGCTCCCTCCAACGCCGCCGCCTTCCCTTCCAGCTCCCCCTTCCCCCCTTCCCCCCTCCCCCCTCTGCCCTCCCCTTCCCCTCACCTCCCCTGTCCATTTCCCCTTGCCTCTCCCCTCTCCCCCAGTCTACAGCCGGAGCACGCGCGCACACGGGTTCATGCGCGCGCGCGCTCCGACACGCAGGCCCGCCTCTGCGCGCGCGCCAGCGCGCCCCAGAGGAGCCCCCGCCGAGCACCCCAATAAACTCCTTGCGTGGGCCCTTGGAAATCCCGTACTACAGTTCGGAACCTCCCACGTGTCCCACGAGTGGACACATCCGGGCCCTCCCAGCTGGATGTGCATCTCGGAGCCCGACGCTCCCCACACCGGCCGCGCTCTCTCTCTTGAAGGAGCGCGACGCCAAAAGGCCAAATGTCCCGGCGCGCCGCGTGCAGGAGCCCTCGCCCTGCTCGAGGCGCACCCGGGCAGCAGGACCCTCAGACAACGCCCTTGCCATCGCCCAAACGTCCGTTCCCTGCGCATTTGTCGGTCTCGTGCGCGTTTTTGTTTGCTAGAGATGCTCCAGGATGCTCCTCCAGGGTCCTCGCCGAGAAAAACATGCACACGTCCGAGCGATGCCAGGCGCTGGCGAAACGATCGGGGAGGCGGGAGGGGCCCCACGACGGTACCGAAGGACTCCCCTGGACGGCCAACAGTTGAGCAGGGACCGACCATCCCGGCATTCCTATAGCCCTACCGCGAAATGTTCTTAGAACACAAATATGTTCTAAGAACAAAAACAATGTTCTCAGAACATACACCCGATGTGATAAAACAAGGCAGACTCCGTCAGAAATGTTCTAAGAACATTTCGTGGGAACCACAAAAGGTTCTTAGAACATTGTTTGGTAGCGCTATAGGCGAGCCAGGACGCTTCGCCACTGCTTGAAGCTTTTCTCTTCGTCGGATGCTGCCCAGAGTGGCCCCAGAGGCTTCCTGCCTGCAGGCCCGGAGGGGCGGCCCAGGAGAGTTCCCCCGAGAGGCCGCCCGGGCAAGACAAAACGCAGCAGGCCCCCGAGAAACGTGCCCGACGTGGCCCACGAGGCCGCGCGAGAGCCCCAAGAAGGAGAGGAGGAGGAGAATGAAGGAGGTGTGGAAGAGGGGAAGAAATAGGAGAACAAAAAGTGACATAAACATGAAAACACGGAGGTCCGCGCGGATTTCTCGGATCGGCGCTGGGGCCCCCCCGGCGGCGCCTCTGGCGCCGCCCCTAGCGCGCTCCGCGCGCCAGGGAGGGGGGTACAGCGCCTATTCGAGAAATCCGCGCGGACCTCCGAGTTTGTATGTTTCTGTCATTTCTCGTCCCCCTAAAGAAGGAGAAGGAGGAGAATGAAGGAGGTGTGGAAGAGGGGAAGAAGGGAAAAAGAGGAGGGAAGACGACGAAGGCAAAGAAAGGCATCACGATACGACGTGGAAAAACACGTCACACGTTACGGCCCTCACTCACAACAAAAAAAAAAACATAACGAATCGATGCCCCGGTTTTCAATGTTGTCCACAACATCCAGCTGCGGTGTTTCCTTGCGAGGTCGCAGAGGGCCGCCCAGGAGGGCAAAGCCTAACATCGTGCGACGCCGTCTCCCGTTCGCCATCCAGCCTAGTTCTGAGAACTGATTTTGAGTCGGGCCTGTCCTTGTACAGGAGGAAGATTCCCATGCAGTCAAACAATACTTCAATCAAGAATCAGGGGGCGATTTCTCGACTATGTGTTGATTGTTATTGAGCATTGCTTAATGTTTTTTTTGTTGTTTCGTCCAAAACCCGCGTGTAGGGGCACAAGCCCGACCTAAAACTGGCTGGATGATGCCTCGCAACTTCAGGTCCTCGGCGCGGTCCAGAACCAGTGCTGCTCGACAGGCTTCCGCCCGCAAGGGCCGGCGGCCGCGAGGCCCGTCGACCCATGCCGGCGTGCTCTCTGCCCCCGGGTGCAAAAGCCTCGTAAGTGCACTACCACTGGCAATCCTGGATTGGTTTCGTTAAAAACACACACACACACACACACACGCACACGCACACGCACACGCACACGCACACGCACACGCACGCACGCACGCACACGCACACGCACACGCACACGCACACGCACACGCACACGCACACGCACACGCACACGCACACACACACACGCACACACGCACACACGCACACGCACACACACACACACACACTTCTCGCCATCACTCGGACGTACATTCCCCGTGCATGTTTCGTTTACGTGCGCGTTTTTGTTTGCTCAATGATCCAGGCCGAGAGCACATGCACGCGCCCAAGCGATGCCAGGACTTTGTGCTGTTTTTTGGGGGGCGGGGGAACGAATATCTCAGCGACCGCGCAGTAATGTGAACTATGCGCGGGGGTCTCCGATCTCGTCTTCAGGCGCGCACACAACGGAACTTGCGAGGCGGTCCGAGATCGAGTGGGCGGCGTGGCGGCCGAACACCGCCTGGGAGGATGAGTACGAGGAGAGAACCTCCCCACAAACTCTATGGAGAACGTCCCAACTTTTCTAGGGTAGACGTAAAACTCGGGTTGAGGACTCGGGTTAGCCTGACGGGGCCATCATGAAGATGACGAGACCCAATCTGAAATTCGACGCGACCTCCCGCTGCAAGCATCCCACGGACACTGTACCATCATGATTTTGGGTGACTCAAAAAGGGGTCTAGCTGCACGGGAGTGGTGCAATAGATTAAGGGCAATTGTATTGCAAATGTATTTCGCTGGAGAATTGTATTGGATTGTCTTGCAAATAATGCATTGCACGCGAAAATCTAGCAATACTTCTGCGCCCCGGAATGAATTGCACGCCCCACATGTATTGCAACCCCACAATCTGATGTCTATTGCACCAAATCTATTGCACCACCCCCTTTGTCGCTGGACCCCTCTTGGGCCAACCCGAATAATCCACGACCCGCTCGACAAAAAGCGTCGGCACACCCTGATTCCGGCGCACTCGAGTCTTACGCTTCTCCGATGTTCGTGGCCCCTCACGGCAGGCCGCCATCCTCGTCCCGCCTTATGGTGCCCCCCTCGTATTGAAGGACCACACCCCAGAAGTAATTCCGAGCACCCGGAAAAGTGCCGAAACGGCATCGAACCTGCGCCGAGCGAGTGCCTCCCAGGGCCCGACACGTGAAAGCCCTCGAGTTTCGGTTCTGTTCCTGGTGCTCGAGATATCCTTCCTGGTGCTCGAGGCCAGAGCAAGCAGGAACATCAGCAGCCCCGCCCCTAGGCTGCCCGCCCCGTCATGATCCAAGACGCGCTCGACAAAAAGCTTCGGCAAGCCCGAAATCCAGCGCACTCGAGTCTTACGTTTTCCCGATAGTCGTGTCCCCTCACGGTAACGGGGAAACCAAAAAGTACCGATACCGCCACTCCCCAGACCTCTCCCGGGGTGCGTTCTGACCAGAATTTCGAAGCGAATCCAGCGCTGGCGACGAGGGCGTCCCAGGAGGCTCGAAAAAAGGAGAACGAGGCAGGAGTAGCGGTATGGGTACCTTTACCTCCTCCGAGGCAGGCCGCCATCCTCGCCCCGCCCCTCGGCTGCCCGCCCCCATCGGCTCCTGCCGTAGGCCAGCAGGAACGCCAAGAACCTCTTGGCACGAGGAGGGGCGCGCGGCATCCCGGCGGGCGGAGGCTCTCTGGATCCCAGGGCCCCCCCCAGCCCAACCGCCTCTCAGTCGGGCCTGTCCCTCTACAGGAGGAATATTCAAAAAGAGTCAACTTGGGACGCCCGAAATGGGCACGGAAAGAATGGGTACAATGCCCAACAACAAATGTTGTCCCAAACCAACAGCGGCCGCTTTTTTCAGGCGGCCTTCTGTCTCGAATGGACACAGGCCGCGGCGGCGCGGACAGCGAGTCCTATTCAAAGTGAACAGGAACTGCTGTTGAGCATTGTACCCATTCTTTCCGTGCCCATCTCGTTCGTGCAGAGGCCTGTCCCTCTGCAGGAGGAATATCCAACAAGAGTCAACCATTATTTCAAGGACGATGTTTGGAGTGTTTTTGGGGCCATTTGGGAATGTGTGTGTTAACCATGTTCTGACTTTCGTCCAAGATCCCCCCTGTAGGAGGACGGGCCCGACTTAAAACTGCCTCGTCCCCAGAAAACCTGCTGGGGAGGACGCCCACGCGGAGTTCGCCGAGCACGGCCGGCGGCACGTGCGCGGACGAGAGGGGGGGGGACCCACGAGCACATTGTGAAAGAGAAAGAAGCGCCCATGGCATCGGGGGCGGGGATAAAAATATCGTGGCCCCGGGCATGACATCCCCCCCCCGTCATCACCCTCCTCCTGGCCGACATCCCCCCCCCCCCGACATCCCCCCCCGTCATCCCCCCCTCCTGGCATGACCCCCCCCCCCGAAATCCCCCTCCCGTTATCCCGCCCCTGACAATTGTCCGAAAGCGGTGCACCACCTCCTCCCGGACAAGTTGTCTCTGTGCTGAGAACCTCAGAACAAAATGCATCGCCTTGTAGCCGTACGGGCGCATGACCTCAGCAAGGGAACAATGACGTACAGTCGACCCATCTCAAAAGGACGCACGATAAGGATGCAAGGGCCTTGGACGCCAATCTCGAAGCGTTTCGAGCGGGGCGCGGCCTAAGAGAGTGGCTCAGGATGGACCGAGGAGGCACGGATGCAAGGGTACCCTTGGGAAGGTTCCCCATCCTTACTATGCGGTTTGACTGTAAGCATAAAAGCTCAGAGGGCTGCGCGGATTTCTTGGATCGGCGCTGGCCCGCGCGCCAGAGGCGACGCTGGAGACGCCGCCAATGGACCCTGGCGCCGATCTGAGGAATCTGCGCGGAACTTCGAGTCTTCATGTTGTGTCTTTATGTGTTTTTGTGCTATGTTTTTTATGTGTTTATGTCGTTGCTTGTTCCCCTAAGGAAGAAGGACAAGAAGGACAGCCTTGGGTTCGGCGTTTTCTTACTCCGCGTTTCGACACTGGGCGGACGGAGGGGGGGAAGGAGGAGGAGGAGGAGGAGGAGGAGGAGGAGGACGAGGGAGGGGGTGGGGTCTGGCTCCGAACCTCTGCTGAATGCGACTGCTTACAAGAGTGCGCCCTATGGGGGAGACTCCGCCCTGCTCGGGACGGGCGCCAACAACGGTCAACTCCATGGGGGCAGGAGGTGCGAGGGCCCGCGCCGATCGGCAAAACAACGAATAAGGAAACGATATCAAACTTGGACGCCCGAAGTGGGCACGGAAAGAATGGGTACAATGCCCAACAACAAATGCTGTCCCAAACCAACAGCGGCCGCTGGTTGGGCAGGCGGCCTTCTGTCTCGAATGGACACAGGCTGCGGCGGCGCGGACAGCGAGTCCTGCTCAGAGTGAACAGGATCCGCTGTTGGGCAGTGTACCCATTCTTTCCGTGGCCATTTCGTTCGTGCAGATCAAGGGGCAAGACATGTTTACTGACGGACCAACAACACACACCCATACCCACAGGGGGGTCGGACAGGGCTATGGGTGCGTGATGCCGGATGTGGGTCCCCGCTCGAACGGGAGCGTTCCCCAGGGTCCGACAACCCGCGCCCATACCCATAGCCAGTCCTCCTCCCAGCGGCCCCCTTATGGGTATGGGTGTGTGTGTGTGTGTTTGAAGGGGCCCCAGGACACACAAATAAATACACACAAATAAACAGATTCCCCATATTTTCCTGTATTTTCCCGGTTTCTGTCTTCCCCCCCACTTCCCATATTTTCCCATATTTTCGGGGGAATCGAGGATTAATTGTGTCTGTGTGTTTCTTTTCCTCCAGAGTGTTGTTCGTTCGTCATTCACGTCATTGCTTGCTCCCCGAGAGGCCTCCACCCTCGACGGCGCCAGCGCCCCGGAGCTGCCGCCCTCGGGCGCCGCCTCGGGGCCCGAGGTGCTGACGCGGACGTTCTGGGCGCGCGCCTCGGCGGGGGGAGACGACGGCCACGGGGGACGTCCCGGCCTCAGCGCGCCGCCGACTCCTCGCGGCATCTGGGCGACGAAAGCGCACGGGTCCCAAGGCCCCCTCGGGCAATGACAGAGATCATGCCGGGAGGCGCTTCCGAATGGTCGGCCTCCGAGGGCCCTTCCCCGGGCCTCGGGGCCGTCAAGAGCGACTCGGGACGCAAAACCGGTCCTGGGGAAGGGGTCGAGAACTCTGGGGGTCGACGCCAAGAAAAAATCATGACGTCGGGGGTCTGGGTCTTACGCGCGATGGCGTAACGACGTGACCGCGGCGGCTTCCGCGGGCCGCAGGCGCGGAACGCCCAGGTTTGCATGCGAGGGCGCTTGCGCGCGACCTGCCGCGGCCAGCTTATGTACGAGCGTCGGCGCAATCGACCCCGCTGTCGTCCGCCGCCCCTCATCTGTTTTGTGTGACTGAAGAGGCCCCAGGACACACAAATAAATACACACAAATAAAACGATTCCCCATATTTTCCCATATTTTCTGGGTTTCTGTGTTCCCCCTCATTTCCTATATTTTTCCATATTTTCTAGGGAATCGAGGATTAATTGTGTCTGTGTGTTTCTTTTCCTCCTGAGTGACCTGCTCGGCCCTCCAAGAGGGAGGCTCGTCGCCGCGGCCGGACTCCCGACGGGGTTCCGGTCGAAACGGACCCCCGAAACAAATCCGGGGGCAGATGATCGAATCGGCGGTGGACAAACCTCCCTGTACCCTGACCTTCCAGGAGGACTAAAAAATAGCACCCGACCTCTAAACCTATCCCAGAGCTATTCTACGTCTTGGTTTTAGGCTGTTTCGTTGAGTTTTTTAGGTTTTTAGGTCTCCAGTGCTAAAAAATAGCTCTCTGGAAGGTCAGGGTCCCTGTAATACACCTCACCTTGATGAAAACGGCCCAAGACCGAAACCGACGGACCTGCACCGGCAAAAATGACGGCCGCGACGCCCTCTCGCGAACCGAAAGCGGCCGATTCCTCCATCGACGCGTCAGGGTAGGAGGTCTGTCTACCCCCGAAAAATACCGAAACATGAACAAGCTGGCGCTCCGTGCGCATATCTAGGATTAAGTCGGGCCTGTCCCCCTACAGGGGGATTTTCGACGAAAAATCAAAAATACCCCAAGAATAATCAAAAAATAGTCCAACAATAGTCTGGGGACTATTTTTTGAATATTTGTTGACCTTTTTGGGGTATGTTTGGGGTATTTTTTTATTTTTCTCGCCAGGGGCGGCGCCAGAGGCGCCGCCGGTGGGGGGGGGCAACGCGGAGCCCAGAAATCTGCGCGGATCGCCACAAGCTTAGGTTTACAGTCGGGCCTGTCCCCCCTACAGGGGGATTTTCGACGACAAATAAAAAATACCCTAACAAAAAATCCAAACATAGTCCAAAAATAGTCTGGGGACTATGTTTTTTGGTATTTGTTGACCTTTTTGGGGTATGTTGGGGGTATTTTGCATTTTTCGTCGAAAATCCCCCTGTATGGACACGCGAGAGGACACAAGACCCTTCCGAGGGCCACACTGCCACAGGAATGCAGGAAGCATGGGTCGCGAGGCACAGGGCACAAGGGCACCCTTGATTTGGCAGGGTCGACCTACTAATCTGGGCCGACTGTATGGCGTCTTGTGGCTCCCCCCCCCCTTTGTTAATTAAAGCTGTGCGCGGCCCGCTTAGCTTCTACCGGAAGAGGTGCGCTCTCGACCCGCGGATCAAAGCTGTATGGCGTCTTGTCTCCTTCGACTGAAGGACCCTGGCCCAGGGTGCCCCGAGCTGTCCGCACCTTTGCCGTCTGGGCCTCGTGGTGGGGTGCTGCAGAGGGCACCCGGGCCTCCCCTGAAGAGCGGGGGCCGCCCGGCCCAGAGGCCCAAGACCCTCAGAAAAGTGAGGAAATCCATTCATTTGTTTAGATTCAAGATACTTCGTGCCAGAAACAAGAGGATATATCTAAAATCCAATGGTTTCTATATTGATTTGTGTGTTTTTACATTTTAATTTAGATATTATATCTTGAACATGTGTTTTAAATATACCACATAAAGTTATGTCACGTTTATACGTGTATTTCTAAGAGGAGGAGGGGGAGGAGCGGGGGCAGGCGGCGGAGCGCGAGCAGCACATTTTATTTTGTTCCAGCGTGCACGCCCTCACGCATCGTCAAACATCAGATGTAGCCATTTGAAAAGAGTGGTCTGGCAAACAGTCGCAGGATGCGCTGTCTGTGCCACTTCTGTAATCAATCCAACAAGGTCTTCGTCGGCGTAGCACCAGTAGTACCTGGGATTCCCTAAGAATATACATTGCTCCTCTGTGAGGTGCTCCCAAAGATGGAGCTTGGGTGACATCTTCCACATCCTGACTTTAGCTGCCCACGCGTCGCGAGCTAGATCTGAATACAATTGAGCGAGCATCTGGCCTAACTGTGGAAGCTCAGCCTTCACCGATTCGCTGTGAAATTGCGACTCGGAGTAAGTATGTCGTAAAATCTGCACAACAATTGAACAACCGCAAGTACTTTGGTGTGTTCATCTCTACCAAACTCCAGCATCAATGCAAGCGCATATCTGGCTAATGCTCTGCAGGCTGCCGCCTTGCATTTCAGTTTGGGCCACTCCCCATTATTTCTGATCCTCTCCGCGTTCAACTTACCACGAATGCGACTTTGGCATTTGGTGCTATCGTACCAAGATTTCATGTGACCATGGAGCTTCGAAATTTTCTCGGCGATGTTGCTCCCACCAAAGCACGATCTGACCACTGCAATCAACCACAATACGTTTCCAATGATATGGCAAGCTATGCCTAGGTCTACCGTGTGCATCGTGTCTACGTGGATAGCTTCGAGCCTGAACCCGATTACACAACGAAGGAGGATAGGGATGGCTTTGCCAGCAGCCCGCTGCATCTCAAGGTAGGCTTCGCGGGTCAAGAGCGCGTCGCGCCATCCAGCATCGCGTCTGCAGTTTGTCCACTCCAGGCCTGCAACCGTGTTGCTGGCCTTGCACTTCCAACACATTGAAACAGCACTGTTCCATTGGCCGAAGTAAAAACACTCCTTGTAGAATGCCCAGTCGCCCCTCACCTGGGCCAGGATGCCTTTCCAACCCCCAGCCAGGGGCGTGGGGGGAGTGGGCGCGCGTCGCGCACGCCAGTCGATCTCTGGAGTATGGCCCGAAGCTAATACATTCATGCTCCAAGAAAACACTTTGAGAAACTCGTCAAACGTGTTGGCCAGCATGATTGATTTGGGCACTACCGTGAACAAGAACCGTTTCTGTATCGTCTTGCCGACCCCCACCAGACTATTCCACGATACAATGTAGAGGCTATCGTGGCTGCTGAAGCTACCACCGTCGGCATGCATGCCTAAAGGCACGCTGCGTGCCCAGTCTGCCTCAGAGAGCAAAGGGTGATTCCGCACCAGAGCACTGTCGGAGATGGAATACCAAAACTCGCGGCAAGCTCCTCGCTCACCAGACAATGCGTGCTTGAATTTCTCTGGCACTTCCTTGAAGTAACTGCTGAAAAAAACGATGCGGCAATCATACAGGGTGGGCAGATCGCTGTCCGTGAGTAGTGGGAATCTCGACCCAGTCCATTGGACAGGAGCCCTTGGGAAATCCAAATAACTTGCACAATCCTCGCAATATATGTTGCGGGTGGGCACCTTGAGCACCGAGGCCTCCTGCGCCTTCCACTCCATCTGCCCCCTGCTGTAGCGCTCTCAATGCATATCGCTGGACCTGTTCCGACGTCAGTTTGCCTTTTGCCCCGTCGACTTTTAGATTGCGAAGGAATGGCGTAATACTGCTCTCAGGCTGCGAAGGAGACGCTGCGCTAGACTCGCGCAGCCTTGACCGAATGCCCCCTCTCAAGGGCGGCTCGTGGTCATCATCAGGCCCATCATCAACGCCCAACCTCCTTTTAATGCCGACTGCATCGCATAGGACTGCGCACAAACCGATCCAGAGCACACGGATATGGAATCGCATGGGTTGGCATGTGGATGGAGCCAAAACGGCTACAAGGAGGAGGGAGGCCGGAACGGAGGAGGGTGAGTGGTGGTGATAATTGTGATGATGATGCTAGTTGTTTTGGTATTTATGATGGTGATGGTAGTGAAGATGGTGATGGTAGTGAAGATGGCGATGGTGATGATGGTGATGATGGTGATGGTGATGATGGTAATGGTGCTGGTGATGGTAGTGAAGATGGTGATGCTGGTGATGATGCCGATGGTGACGAAGATGATGGTGATTGCTATGGTAACGGTGATGATGTAGATGTAGATGATGTGATTGGTTTTCAATCTTGCTCGGTGTGTATAGTGTCTCAGAGATTGTAGCTGCTGCGTATGCTGCCTCTACCGCTGCGCGCCATGAGACTCGAACTCGGGATCGAGGAAGCAGCAATTGAATTCAACGAGCTGGCTTTCTCAGATGCCTCAGGTCCTACAGGACTTGACATGAAAATGCGCTGTCTGACTTACGCACTGCCTTTAGTAGCCTTCCTTCTGCGCTTGGCGGGCTTTTCATCCGCCAAGTTGAAACGAACCGCCCAGGTGGTGATCTCCTCGAACTGCTTGGCGAGCGAGTCTATGGTTTCGAGAAGGCTGTGGATCTGGCTATCGTCATCGTCTTTCACCTGCTCAGTCGCCATGCGGTCGAGGATCTTCGAGGTTTTGGCGGCCTTGTTGAGATACTTCTGGATGTCGGACTGGAAGCCTGCGTTGTACCTGTTGGTAGTCGGGTCCGTTATGTTCTCGCACTTGTTGACGATTCTCTTCGCCTCCAGCACGTTGTCTTGGAGCTGGCGGAGGTACTGGGCGGCATTCTCTTTCACGTGCGACACTCTCTGCGCCAGCTTCTGCATTTCGGTGGGCTCCTCTCCTTTGGCTCCGTCTTGATCTTGACGGTGTCATCGGCGCTGGTGCCGAACTTCTTCAGCGCTTCGTGGTCTCCTTCCTCAGCGTCGCCTTGCGTCGTGAGCTGCATCTTCTTGATGTCCTCGTCTGTAAGTCTTTCCCAGTCTTCCGGGACCCCTTACTCCGCGAAGTTCTAGTCCGTGGACCCTGTCAAGGGATCTGGACGAGATCGAATCTTATTTGATTCGCGCCAGCGCGCGGCTTTGAGCTTGCCGAGGGCGTCGTCCATTTTCTCTTTGGACATCCAGAGCAAGTCCTTGAAGTTCTGTTTGACCGTGGCCTTCTCCTCGGATGTGTTCACCTTCTTGACGACCGAATTGCTGCGCAACTGATGCACTACAAACGCCTCTAAGAACTTCTCCCTTTCAGCGCCTCGAGAATCTCCGACAGATGTGTTGATCTCTGGGTTTGTCTTGAGGAAGTTGACCATGCTGGCTGACCTGGATCTCTTGTTGTTGTCGGACTCCTGCAGGATGGCTCGAGCAGCTGCCAACTCCTCGCTCGTCGGTGCAAGCGAGCCGAGATCGACTTTGTTCAGCTTCGTCCCCATCAGCTCGAGCTTTGAAGGCAGACTGTATGTAGCGGCGCGAAAACCTGGGCAGGGCTTCAGACAGGCTTGAGCCAAAACGGTTACGGCGAGCACGGCAATAAAGATTGTTGAATGATCCTGTTGCTCACCGCACACCAGTGGAAGTGAACGGCAAAGTCAAGACAAGCGAAAAGTTAGAGGGGGGGCAGAGGCAAGTCAAAAGCAAGTCAAAGTTGAGTCAAAGGTAACACCTTCGACTTTACCTTTGACTCGACAGGTGCCGAGTCAAAGGTAGGTCAAACGTAAGTCAAAGGTAACTATTTTTGACTTGCCTTTGACTTGTCGTTCCTGGGCGTCTGTCTCGCATTCGATCGTTCGTGCGTTGGGGGTCGCCTGGTTCCGGGTTGGTGTCCTGCGGTGTCCTGCGGTCGAACAGCGAGAACCGCGGATGACGGCGGAAAGGCGGGAGCCATGACGGATCTCCAAGAAGCGGAAACTGGTGCCTTGCAAGCAAGGCGCGAGAATCATTCAGGCCCCCGCGGGGGCAACAAGATGGTGATGGTGGTGAAGATGGTGATGATGGGTGATGATGATGATGGTGATGCTGATGATGGTGATGACGATGGTGACTACGTCCACTACATGATGATGGTGATGATGGTGATGATGATGATGGTGATGAAGTGTGTCAACAGGTGGTGATGATGGTGATAATGGCAATGGTGTGATGGTGGCGTGGATTGAGATCGATTTTTTTGCTGCGCTTTGCCTTGGTATTGTTTGGCTGGTAGCGGAGCCTATCTGGGTGCCCCCGCCCTGCACGCAGATCAACGCGAAAGCTAAGCATTGAAATGACTGGCTGGCTTGCCCTGACTAGGTGTACGCAGGAATGGTTGGCAGGCTGACTCTCAAGAGGTCTTCGCTTTCTTTTTCATTGACTTGATGCAATCGGGAAAGATACCGTGGAGCCTCGTCCAGTCGGCACTGATTTGTCCAATCTCTGCGGCGATGGAAGGACCCATATAGTCTTGGACCTGGAAGCGCGAGTAGCACAACGTGGCTGACGTGATGAAGTCTTCGACGTCCTTGCGAATCTCCTCTGTAAACGAATGCTCTGGCACCTCCCATGGGACACGGACTGCAAGCAATATACTACAGCCCCCGACTTTCAGCAAAACTTCAGAACTTCCAGGACCCCCCGACTCCCAGCAAACGTGGAACGGCTTTTCCCCCCACTTCCAGCAAACGCGAAAAAAGGGAACAAAACTCAAACTCCACCATACCCTGAATGCACATTCGCGTGTATGTTTGGCACGCTGACTTGACATGACATCTAGCTGTGTTGTTGCGAAACAGGCCCCCCAGCGTAAAACTATCGGTTTTCAAAAACTGTCGTTTCCTCCTGAACTTATCGCGTCAGGGGGGCTTGCAGTGAATGCCCCATGCAGACCTCCTCGAGCCACGAAGATGCCACCTCGAACTTAGCGTGGAGGCCCTCTTCGATATCTTTCATGCTGGGGCCCCAGTCCTGCGAACCTTCCTCCACCTCGAGAACCTCGACGGGGCGCGAGCTCGGGGGGTCCTCTGGAACAGGCTCGGCCTCGTCACATTTATCATCCTGCTTAGGCCTGGACTCATTCATCTCAACTGACTGGAGGCGTCTGCCCCTGCCCTGGAAGGGTGCGAACTGGGGCGGGGAGCGCTCCATCTTGAGGGCTTGGACCAGACAGCCCAGAACGATGGCGGTGATGGTAGCGGTAAGGTAATGGTGTAGCATGGCTTCTGTGTTTATGGTAATCGTGATTTACTTGTATATGGCAGTAAACATGGCGACAACAAAGGTGGCGGTGATCGTAGTGATGATGATTTCAAGATGATGGCGATGGTGATCGTGGTGTTTGCCATCACATTGATTGCGGTATGCTGTTATGACCTGGTCCATTTGGGCTTAAGCCTCCTATGCTGTTATGACCTGCAATGACCTGCTATGCTGCTATGACCTGCTATGCTGATTGGTCCATGATGGGTATGCTGCTATGACCTGCTATGCTGCTATGACCTGCTATGACCTGCTATGCTGCTATGACCTGCTATGGTCCATGATTGGGTATGCTGCTATGACCTGCTATGCTGCTTGCGGTCGTAATCCACCTAACCTTCACAAGCGCGGCCATTTGGGCTTAAGCCTCTGACGGCTCTGCCACACGGGAGGAGACGGACGAGGACGAGGACGATGACGAGGATGCGGAGGAGGATGCGATGAGGGTGGCGATGGCGATTTTTCTGTAGCGCAAGCGTCCAGAGATCTGGCAGGCTGGACGGAGCCTGCGCACCCCGAGCAAAATGTACACCGAGCAACTGCACCCACGGCGCTCGCAAACCCTACTGCTGCCTCAACTCCCTCAGCTCCCTGAAGCGCTTTCGAGCGACCACCCACGCATCATGCGCAGCGGCAGTGGCCCGCTCCTTGTCGCCATGAAGCTCCATCTGGCGCTTCATCTCAGCCTTCTGGACTTTGCAATGCAATCGTTTCTCGATTGTGGCTAGGTCTCCGTCCTGCTTCAAGTAGATCTCGATCGGGTCGTCCAAGTGATGGGGCTGCGCTGGAGGCGCTGGTGCAGGCGCTGGTGGAGGCCCAGCGGTTAGAGACGTTTTTACCCTGAGCCTCCTCGTGGGAATTGGCAATGGTTTGACAGCTGCAGTCGTCGCAGCGGTGTCGTGCTTTCTCTTGCCCTTCAGCTCCTTCTGCATCTCTGTGTACTCCTTTGCACTCGGACCGCCAACAGATGACGACCCACCAGCCAAAGCTGCGATCGCCGACATCTCGAGGAGTTTCGACGCGCCGCCGAGGACATAAGGCTTCTTGACCCCAATAGAAGCGCTCATCTTCGGGGTTGCGTCCATGGCAGGCGTGAAGAGCTTGGATTCGAGATCGTCCAGGTCGAGTTCTTCTGGTACAGTCTTGGACGATGGCTCGTCGTCAGACAACTCAACAACTGGCACCTCCTCCTTGACCACGGGAATCTCGACAACGTCCTCCGACGAGTCCTCATCTTCGCGATCGGCGGTCGCTTCATGTTCACCTGCCTCGTCTGTTTCAATCAGGATCGCATCGCACAGGGTGTTCAGGCAGCCGTAGGTCATGTTGTTGAAGGCAATGGGTTTCCCATTGATTATATGATCGCGCTTCTTTCCTGCCAGGCTTCGGATCATGGTTCGGAAATGATAGGCGGCGCGTTCGACGTCTGAGATCGCCCACGTCATGTCATTGGACTTCAACCACGCATCCAGCTGTTTGCAGAACTGCTTCTGCTTTAGGTTCTTGCCTCCAGTGCGCTGCAATACTTCCGAGATCAGTGTCCTCGTGCGGGCATTTTTCTCAGAAACCTACACCATGACATATGGGGTTGGTTTGTGGACCCTCCTCCCCCCTCCTCTTTTGCCTCCTCCTCCTCCTCCTCCTCCTCCTCCTCCTCCTCCCCTTTTCAAGTTCAGAGAAACGGTCCTGGCACGCTTCACAGCGTCCCAGCTGCTGGTGTGCCCCTGCTTGGTGACCTTCACCTTCCAGAGTACACTAGGCGCACACGATGCCAATGGGACATGGGCGGAGAGCAAGTCTGCAATCACAGAGTTCTCGAGGGTTACAGCTGTTGTCCTGCTCATGGCTTGAACCCAAATGGCTTCTGCTGCTGCTACCATTGTTGTTCATTGCTGGCACTCGGAAACAGTTGGAGACTAGATGTGCCATTGGTGCAAGTATGATAAACTTCAGAAAATATCTCCCGAGATGCAACGAGTTGCCAAAAAGGCGGGCGCCCTGTTGAATTTACTGCAGAAGCCCGAGCGGGAGAAACACATGCAACGACGAAGCCAGGGGTGTACAATCCGACGCACCCACATTGGGAGCTAAAGCCAGGCGTGTAGAACCCGACGCTGCGATTTCAGTGGGGGTGAGGTCAAGCGTGTAAACACCCCCAAAACTATTTAAAGGTTTCGTTATCTAGTTTTGTTGCGCTGCTCTACTTCAAACGACGTCTCTACTTTTTTGAAGACGACGAGGCCTCTGGGGGGGGCCAGGACCACCTCCGGCAGCGCCCGAGTCTTAGGTCGGGCATGTCCTCCTACAGGCGAATTTGGGGGGACAGATAAAACATATGCAATAAAAGTAAGCAAAAATAGCCAAACACACTAGAATAATCGTATCCGGACTACTCTTTGACTATGTTCGAATCTTCCTCCTGTGGAGGGACGTGCCCGACTTGCCCCGAGCCTTGTGCGTGCCGAAGATCGTGAGCACCATCTGCTGCAGAACCCCCTCCGCGGAGGAGCGCAGCAAGTACGACGCGCGCGGCTGCCGCGAGATCTGGAAGCACTTCCGGACCATGTGCCAGACGCACAGGTCGCCCAGGTAGTCGCCGGCAGGGCAGCGGAGGCAGTCTATCATGAGCCCGACCATCTTCAGCAGCACGACCTCGCCGTTGGCGTTCGCGCTTGAGACGAACCTGCAGTTGATGACGCCCCACGCGAGCGTGTTGACCGCCTCCCCGCACCGCGGGCTGTCCGGGCGGATCAGCCCGAACGACACGAACTTGTCCACTGCGTCAAGCGCCACGCCCGTGATCTGCCCGTCGGAGGCGTCCGACTGGATGACCTCCAAGAAGGGCCCCAGGTAGGCCACCGTGTCGAACTCGTGAAGCTCGTGGATGTACGTGAGCTCCTCGAACAGCCTCTGGAAGGCTTCGAGCGAGCTGGCGTGAAACTCCGCCTCCCGCCCCGACGACCTTTGAGCAGGGACCGACCACCCCGGCATTCCTATAGTCATACAACGAAATGTTTGTAGAACCCGAACATGTTCTAAGAACAAACAAAGTTCTTTGAGCATGAACCCGATGTGTTAAAACGAGACAGTCCCGGCCAGAAATGTTCTAAGAACATTTCGTGGGAACCACAAAAGTTTAGTAGAACACTGTTTGGTAGGGCTATAGGCGAGCCAGGACGCTTCGCCACTGCTTTAGACCTGTGCTTCGTCAACCGCAGCGTGGTGAGGAGGTTGTGGATCTCGTTCTTCACGCACTTCGCCGGGAACCGAGCGCCGGCGATGAGCTGATCCATGGCAGCAGGGCGCGCCGGGAGAGAGAAGGGAGGGGGGAGGGGGTATGAAAGGTTCCTCCTCCTCGTTCTCTCTCTCCTGCACCTCCTCCTCCTCCTCCTCCTCCTCCACGCGCTTAGCTGGGAACCGAACGCCGGCGAGGGGCTGATCCGTGGCGAGCAGGGCGAGGCCGAAAAAGAGAGAGTGGGAGGGAGGGGCCCGAGACATCATTACCGGAGCCCTGGAGCCCATCTTTCTGCGTTACAGTCAACCCGCAGAGCAAGGATGCGCGACAAGGCTGCAAGGGCCTTGGATGCCCATTTCGAAGCGTTTCGAGCGGGGCGCGGCCAATGGAAGTGGCCAAGGATGGACCGAGGGGGCAAGGATGCAAGGGTACCCTTGGGAGGGTTGCCAATCCTAACTCTGCGGATCGACTGTATGCGTCGAGCTGGGTGGAGCTGTGAGAGGGTCCTAGGGCCCGAGATGGAGCAAAGACTCGCGCTGCGGACAACAATGAAACGCCAGGGTCTCAGGATTAGGTCGGGCATGTCCTCCTACAGGCGGACTTTGGGCGAACAAAAATAATCAAACAATAATAAAAATGATAGAAAAATCGTCCCATACCACTCGTATATTATTTTTGGAAGTATTCCTCCTGTAGAGGGACACGCCGGTCAGAGGCATCGACTCCATCCCCTGGACCGCTTTGCCGCCCGCGGATCGCTCACCGATTGCCACGGGCACCAGGGAAAACAAAACTCGAAAAACAGAAGAGCGATCCCGTCATTTACATGCTTCACTACTTGGCGGCGCGCTCAGGGGGGGTATGGGGGAGGGGGGTAAGCTTCTTAGAAGGACGCCGCGTCGTAGCAGGCGCCGGCCCCACCCACATCTTCAGAAAAGGCCGGCGCCTTTTGCGAAACAGGGGGTGCTTCTAAGAAGCCTTCCCCCTTCCCCGAACCCCCCTCTGCGCGTGGCCGAAACACGTCTGGGAGGTTGAGGAGGAGGAGGATCGAGGAGGAGAAGGATCTAGGAGGATCGAGGAAGTCGAGGAAGACGAGGAGGAGGCGGGCGACGAGGAGGGAGCGGAGGAGGAGATGGGGCGAGGAGGAGGAGGAGGAGGAGGAGAAGGGAGGGAGGGAGGGGAGGGAGGGAGGGAGGGAGGGAGGGAGGGAGGGAGGGAGAGGAGGAGAGGAGGAGGAGGAGGAGGAGGAGGAGGAGGAGAAAGGAGAGGAGGAGGCAGGAGGAGGAGCAGGAGGAGAGGAAGAGGAGGAGCACGAGGAGGAGGAGGAAGGAGAGGAGGAGCAGGAGGAGGAGGAGCAGGAGGAGGAGGAGGAGGCGGAGGAGCAGGAGGAGGAGGAGGAGGATCGAGAAGGAGGAGGTCGAGGAGGATCGAGGGCGAGACGAGGGCGCAGACCTGGGAAGCGCTGGGGCTGCCTCTCGCACAAGCCCTCTGCCGCCCCCGTGCCCCGCCCCCCCCGAGCCCAGAAGGCTGCGGAAATGCGAGAGTCGCGCCCGCCGTGCCGCCGCCGCGCCCGGCCCCCGGTGGCGCAGCTGCCCTCGCGGCGGCCCAGGGAAGGGACGGGGGAGGAGGAGGAGGAGGAGGAGGAGGAGGAGGAGTTGCGAGTTGCGAGCTATCCCACGTAGTGGTCGAAACGAACGGATTACAAGCGACAGCGTTGCTCAGCCTGACTAAGCACCTTAGGCCACTTGCCGACTTCAAGTCTGGAAAGGTACTCCTTCCTATGAGGAGCTACGTGCCTGCAACAAGGTTTGGCCAACTCTCTCAACTGCTGATGAGCGAAGTGGCCACACCCTGAACAAAACCAAACCTTCTGAGCATTCGACAGTCTCATACTGTGCGACGTGTCAACCCACCCCCCAGCTACGTGGAGCCGCCCCCCCATCGGAAGGCCTCTGAACTTATCAGAAACAAAAGCTGGCACGAAACAGGGAGAGGTGAGCCACTCAGACAATTTTGCTCTCGAGGCAGACCCGAAACATCTGATGCACCTGCGCCCACACTCGTCCAGGCAATGCTCCGACACGAAAGCACGGACGACCGAGGGGGCGGGAGGGGGGGGAGGAGGAGGGCCCTTCACCCTCGGGGGCGCTCCACCACGCTCCTCGGCCTGCAGCGTGTCCAAGCTGGCCCTCAGGAGGCGGTGCCTGACGAGCCACGCCGTGCGCTCGATCGTCAGGATGGAAGCCCGAACCTCGTCGGGCAATCTGCATGCTTCTGCCGCCTGCGCGGCCAACTCGTCTACACAGTGATTGCCGACAGCCAACCAGGACGGGATACCTGCATCAACGATTTGCTCGCCTGTGAGGTGAGAATTGACGAACAATACAGAGACCTGCCCCCTCCGATGTTTGAGCTGTCCTCCGATGGCATTCCAGAGATCTTTGTTGGCCCCATGGGGCCGTGCGTGCATCTGCTCATGAAATCCTTTTGTGACCGCTTCACAGTCGGTCACGTACACCAAATGGTCCTTAGTACACTCCAAGGCCAAAAGAAAAGCTCGGACTTCCCCTCTGGGGACAGACTGCACACGTCCCGCAAGTGGGCCCTGGACGGAAGCGCGAATAGCACACGGAGAAAAAGCCTCCAGCACAGTGATTGCAATACCAACCCTCATGAACCTGGGATCTCCTGAGTCCTTGCCTCCTGAAGCATCTCCAAAGACAATCAGGGGTTGCGCCTCTGTGCCCTCCCCCAGACATCCAGGTGGTTCTGTCGCGTTGGTGCCGACCAGATGCCACGTCTCCTCCATGGTTGGCGGAGGTGCAGCGGTCCACCTGGCTGGGATTATCCCTCGCAGCCAAAAACAGGGCTCGGCTTCATGTTGTGCGTATGCAGCGCAAACGAGATGCTCTGAGTCGTCGTAGGCCTGGGCCCCCCGATTTTCAGCACACCCCCAACACCTGTGAAACTGAGTTTCGGGCTCAGCATAACACCTGGGACACAAAACTTCATGCTCACCCGCGATTTCATCTTGCTGCCTCTGACGCGGCCAGGACCCTCCCGTAGCAATCGAAACCATCATCTCGGCCAATCGCCTGCCCTGCCGCACGGACTGGAGCTGCTGAATGAGTCTCCGCAGCGACAAATTATCAACTCCAAACTGCATTCCTTCGCCGCAAAAATGGCGGGCGGCCTCGCGCCACAACTTGGCTTGAATAGTAGCTCCAAAGTCCTCCAGCAGGGGCTCAGGATCGCCATCCAAGATGTTTCCAGAAAGCTCAGAAGGGGGGAATCTCCACATCTCCAGGTCCCCTTCGTGGTCCTCTGGAGCCTTCCAAAGCCAAGGTAATTCAGGATTCCACCCAGCCTCCAGAAGATGTAGAATAACAGCTCCTGTGGGACCGCGGACCAGCCGTGAACGTTGCCCTGCTGGAGCTTCCCGCATGCGCTGCAGGATCTTCGGCCATGCAAGCATAATGCCCTGCCGTATTGTTGGCCAGGTCAAAAACTGCTGCAGCCACAGACGAAGACATGCCTTGGGAAGTGTGTATCCTGGATCTCCTCCTGGACTACGTAAGTCGAGCAACGTGGTTAAACATCGTCCCCTCTTCCCTGATCCGCAGGCATGCCCCATCTGGCGCCGAGTTCTCGTGAGATGAGTGCCGAATACTCCATGGAGCTCGTGCCCATATAGCCCTGCAGCCATGGTGCCAGCGCGCGTGAGTTTACTAGTAATATGATATCGTTTGCCAGCACGTGCAAATCGAACTACTTTGTTGTGCATGGTGACGGCTTTTTGAACACGTTTGACCCTTTGCTGTCGTACATGCCGTTTGCCCCCACTCAAGTCCACGCCCAAATAACCTGCCCGAGTGCACGGCTTGGCGTGAAAACCTGCCTTCCGAAGCTGCTCAGAAACGAACTGCGCATCAACCAGGTGGGTGCATAGTACCACGCTCTTGGGTGAGACGGTGAGGCATTCGCTGGTGAGAGCACGACATGTGTCCAAGAGGCCTTGGACGAGCGAAAGTCTGATCGCGCGCCGTGAACCCCTTACCCGTTGAGACAAATCGTCGACCCAAATTCTAGTGCCCATAGCTGGGTGAGCAACCGTGACACGAGAAAGAATAAAATACGTCAAACATCTGGCAAATCGAGTGCCTCCACGGAGGCCTTGCACAATGGAATGAGTAGGTAGAATAGGTTCGGCGTAGGCCCCGCTTTGTCCCAACGACCGTGGCATGATACACTGCAATAACTCGAGATATAGAATTACTTGTGGGCACCCCAACTTTAGAGCCGTTGGTATAAGTAGAAACCATTCCATGGAATCGTAAAATCCCTGAATGTCCAGGAGACCATGGCCCGTAGGGATGCCGAGAGCCCCTGATACTTCCTCCTCGCAAACTCGCAAAAAGGCTTCCCGCAGGGCAGCGTTGCCCTGAATAGCTGCATCCCACATGGGCTCGGATTCAGTGACCCAAGTCTTAACATGTGGCTCTCTGGCTAGACTCCATATTCGTGCTATCATCGAAAGGAGACCGATGACCCGATCCCCTGAAACTTTCTTCGGTAAAAGCCGTCCAATAGTGAGCCCAAGTTGCACTGGCCAAACAAGTGTCTCTTCAATAACGGCATATAGTTGGGAAAGCTCAGTCAACGCAATATCGGGCATCCTTTCGACATCGGTTGGACTTAAAACATCCACGCCTTGCCCAGCTCGTGCCTTCATGGCGTGAGCTGCTTGTCGAATCTCGCAAACTGAAAGCACATCCAGCGGGTCGTCACGAGCCGCTTCGCGTGCCACTGCAAAAGCGTGAATGATCCTCGTATCAGTTTCAGCTGAGGCTGATTTCGCCCAGAGATCCCGAAATGGTTTGGCCCGCAGGTCCACAACATCCCGAGGTTGAAACACCACAGTAGTCCCTTGGATGATTTCCTCCGAAGGTACAGGGTCCTGCCTCATAGCTTTATGCAAAACGCCTGCTGCCGTGGGAACTGCCATCCATTCTTTAAACTCAGCTAGCGAAGCCCGTAGCGCCCGAGCGCGGCATCTCG